GGGGGGGGGGGCTGGTAAGTGTTTTAAGACGCTCGGAACTGCATAAAGTCATATGAGCGTACAGGACACATTAAACATTTTTAGTTGGCTGGACATTTTACATTTTGCACGGATGGCGGCTGAAGCCTACTCTTATCGATTTTGGACCACCAAGGGATCTTTAACGTGCGCAACTTCCACACAGGACCCTCAAGATTTTTTTCCCTTATCCGAGAACGCTAATTGTTAGATCTAACTACTATAAGATCAGGGATGTGGCTGAAATAAGGCGATAAGAAGGAGCTAAGGAGTAGCAGTAGAAAGGCTGCAGAAAGAGTCAGGAGCCCAGAGGAGCGGACAAAAGAGGTGAAGGGGTGAGGGGAAAAGTGGAGACGAATGCAGACGACAGAATGCAGACGACAGAATGCAGACGACAGAACATTGTTAGAGAGGAGGAAAGGAGTTGAAAAACAAAAACAAATTTAGAGAAGAAAATTTTCCGTCGCTGTCAGAATTCGAACCCAGGACCTATTGAATGAGAGGCAAACATCATAACCTACGACCACGACCCCAATCATTATGTAAAATTTATTTATTATGATGTAACTATTATTATTGTTATTATTATTATTATTATTATTATTATTATTATTATTATTATTATTATTATTATTATTATTATTATTATTATTATTATTATTAATAATAATAATTTTTAAAAATAATCAACATCATTATTATTGTCGTCATCTTCATTCTCATTATCATGGGGTTTTCTTCATCTCTGAAACAAGACAACACTTACGTTCAGGGACGGAAACGGAAGCAGCCAGTGCAAGCGTCGCTACGAGCACCATGCCAGTTAGCAGGCGAGACATTGTCATGCTGGAAACTGTAGTCCGGGAATGTCTGAGGAAAGAACAAGGATTATAAAAAACCATTATAATTTGATTTGATGCATGTTCTTAAGTGTCATTTTAAGTGTGAAGACAAATAAAAACAAACCAAAAACATGCCACGACGCGGTGCAATCGGGCGCTTGTCATTTTTGGGGCATACAGAGTTAATAGTAACATCTGAAACCGTGCACTTTTGTGTTGCTTTTGGTGAAAAAGTATCCACTTGTCTTGAATAAAAGTTGAGATTTTTGCGATTGAAGGAGGTGGGGGTCGCCTGATGCCAGAGGTGAAATTACCGAGAAAATGGCGCTAAAGTTTGTTGACTTGAAAAGCTTGAGTGTCCTTGAAAACAGCACATTTACAAGTTGTGTGCCTTTGAAAAACGTGTTTGAGTAAAATTCACACCTAAATATTGTGTTTTTAAATGGACATAGAAGTTGTTAAGCCAACAAAAGAAATTTCGAAGAAGAATTTGCCTGGCCAGAAAAAAGCCGATTTCTTTTATTTCATTTTTGTGAAGAACGCCTGATTTAATTAATTTAGTTTTTCTTTGTCTCTCTTTGTCGTTGTCTTCGTCATTCTCTTCTTTCTGTCTTTCTTTGCTTCACCCACACCCCCTCCTTTCTCTCTCTCTCTTTCTCTCTTTCTCTCTCTCTCTCTCTCTCTCTCTCTCTCTCTCTCTCTCTCTCTCTCTCTCTCTCTCTCTCTCTCTGCAAGTCTTTCTCTCTTCTCTTCTTTCTCTCCTTCTCTATTATATATAGTTGCCCAAGTTTGCATGAAAGTTTTACCTCTTTCTTACCCAAGTCTAACTGTTTTAACAGCTAGAATTTATCTCTCACGTCTATAAAAAAAATGTGAGGTACATTTTTAAGGATTAAAAAACCCCACCTCCACTACCACAAGCAACAACAATGGTTACGACGACAACGACAACAAAAACAACAACAACAACAACAACGCCAACAACAACTTAGGGTGGATTTGGAATCAAATTCGAATTAATTCTAGTCACACACCCCATTGCAGTAGGTGGTT